ATCCTACCCCTCCCTCCCATCCCTCAGCATGGCGTAGATCCCCTCTCTACTCGCACAGTCGGATGTCGAGCAGGGCAATGATCCCGAAAGGGTACGCGATGCATTGTAGAGCACGGCATGGCATGGCGTAGAAGAGCACCGCAGAGCGTAGTATGTCACAGCATGGCTTGGCGTGGCGTAGTGAAGAATTGCATCACAAAGCTTTGCAACAGAAGCATGGCATCGCACAGCGGCCCCGAACATAACATTGCATCGCATGGCGTTGAAGATCAAAGCGTAGCATGGCATAGCACGACGTGGCACTTAAGCACTGCATATCACAGCTTCAGCTGAAGGCATGGCATCGCGCAGCGGAACGCAACTTAGCATTGCATTGCATGCCGTGGCATGGCACGTGAAATGACGCCAGCGCTGCAGCGGGAGCACGATTCGGAACGAGCGGAAGCGCGGAAATGAGGCCAGCGCTGCAGCGGGAGCACGATTCGGAACGAGCGGAAGTACGGAAATGAGGCCAGCGCTGCAGCGGGAGCACGAGTCGGAACGAGCGGGGCCCGAAAATGAGGCCGGCGCCTCAGCGAGAGCAGCATTTTTTAATGCAGGCGAAAACCCCAACTCCGGGGAATCCTGTGTGTAAAAAACAGTACGCGGGGGGCGAACACTCCCAACCCGTCATCAGGGGAAGGAGGAGAGTAGTATTCATATTGAGTAATTGTGGAGGAGGGAGGAGGAGGAGGAGGAGGAGGAGGTGAGGAGAGATGAGGAGGAAGGGGAGGAGGAGGAGGAGGCGGGAGGAGGAGGAGGACGGAGGAGGGAGGAGAGGAGGAGGAGGAGGAGGAGGAGGAGGAGGAGGAGAGAAGGAGAAGGAAGAGGAGGAGGAAGAGGAGGAGGAAGAGGAGGAGGAAGAGGAGGAGGAGGAGGAGGACGGAGGAGGAGGAGGAGGAGGAGGAGGAGGAGAGGGGCATCTTGGGAGCCTCTGGAGGCACTCTTGGGGCCTCCTGGGAGTTTTCTGGGGGCCTCTTGGAGGCTTCTTGGAGACCTCCTTCGGCCTCTTGCGCCGCCGAGGACACGGAGGGAACGCCTGCCTCCTGGCTCAACGACCAGGCCCGACATAAGAAGATTGTTCCTTTTTTTTTCTCCTCCTTCCTCGCTTCGGCGTCGTCGCCCTCGCGTTCCTTCTCCTGCTCCCCTTTCCCCTACATATCCGCTTCCTGCCACTGCGATGTGGCCTTTCAATGTCCCGAGCTAGAGTGTAAGCGCGCGCACGAAGCGCGGGCCATTGGTTCTAGTTTATATCTAAGACGGCTACGGCGAATCACCTCCGCCCCCTGCCTTTGGAATCGCCCATGTGGCCGAACGTCGTCGCCAGAGCTTTGCCTAGCTACGGGACCATGTGTTCCCCCCGCCGTTGTGGAGACCCTTCGGGGACCATGCGGGGGAGAAAGAAGAAGCGGAGGAGAGGGAGGAACAACATATAGGAGGAGGAGGAGGAGGAGGAGGAGGAGGAGGAGGAGGAGGAGGAGGCGGAGGCGGAGGCGGAGGCGGAGGCGGAGGCGGAGGCGCAGGCGGAGGCATGCCATCTGGTAGCGGTGGCAGGCGCAGGCGCCTGTTGACTTTTGATGCCTGGCATTGGCTCAATCGCGCTTCCGTAACCGTGATGGCTCAGGCTCCTCTTCCTCCCCTCTTCCTCTCCCCTCCTCCTCCCCCTCCTCCTCCTCCTCCTCCTCCACCTCCTCCTCCTCCTCCTCCTCCTCCTCCTCCTCCTCCTCCTCCTCCTCCTCCTCCCCTTGCGAATCGGCCAGATGTTTAACCGAATTTTCCTGTCTCTGCCGTTGCGCTTCCTGCTTGCCGCCTGCCTGCCTCCTCTTCCTGCCGTTGCTGCTGCCGCTCACGCGCTACAGCGAATCCACCGTCCCGTCGCCCGAGGCATCGCCACATTCCGCCCCGAGCTAGACAGTCAGTCTGTCAGTCAGTCACCGGCAGGCATGGAATTGCACCTGGTTCCGCTGGGTTTTTTTTCCATAGGCGACTTTGCACGTTTGCCAAATCCTTGCCTATTGTAATTTGCATTTTCCCGCTTCGCCGTCGGCCCCCCTCGGTGCAGGGGGTGCCGGTCCCACTCGGGAGCCAGCGGCGCGAGCAAGCAGGAGCAGGAGGAGGAGGAGTAGGAGCAGGAGCAGGCCTTTTAAAAGCCTCTTGGGGTACCCTTGGGGCCTCCTGGGGGCTTCCTGGGAGCCATTCGGAGGCCTCTTGGGAGCCTCCTTGGGCTTCTTCGGGGCCTTTCGGGGCTTCTTGGAGGCCTCTTTGGCCGTCCTAGAGCGTTCCTGGCCCGTCTGGCGCCGTCGGAAGCAGCCTTGGATGCCTCTCTGAACCGACATGGGGCCCTCTTCGGGCGCTTCATGGCCATCTTGGAGGCCACGTTGGGCGTTTCGGAGGCCTCTTGGGCCGTCTTGGGGCTCTCTTGCGGCTGTCGTGGAGGCTTCTTGGGCCGTCATCAGGGTCATCTTGGATCCCTTCGGGGCCACATTGGAGCCATTTTGGGAGCCTCCTGGGCTGTCTGGGGCCGTCGAAAGGCGAATCCTTAAAAAACCTTAAGCAAATCGATGATATTGGCCTCTTCGGGCCCTCCTGGAGGACCTCTTGGAGGCCTCTTGGAGGCCTCCGGGGCTGTTTTGGAGGCTTCTTGGGCAAACTTGGAGGCATTTTGGACGCTCTTGGGCCGTCCTGGAGGCCATCTGCCATTTCGGAGCCATCTGCAGCAGAAAGTGCGTTTGCAACCACCTCTGGAAAAGCCTTCTATGTGGCCGGCGCGGTGGGCCGAAACCCCAGGGGGAGCTCGTTGGGAAAATAACAGGAACCAGAAACGGTAGAATCTAGCACGCCAGGCACCCCATGTGATAAATCAGCACGGGGCGGCAGATGACGGAAAGCGCGCGTAGCGTGCGATCCGTTGGTCGGGAGAAATTGCACAAGGGGGAGTTCGAGGGGGGCGGCAGCCGCACCCCCAGATGCAATGGCAGATGCTTCCTTCTGAGAGGCCTCCAGCGGCCTCCAGATAGCCTAAGACGGTCGAAGATGGCCTCCAAAGCGGCTCCAGAAGGATCGAGGGGCCTCCAACGTCGCCCAAGATGCCTCCAAGACAGCCCAAGAGGCCTCCAAGACGATCCACGAGGCTTCCAAGACTTGGGCCTCCCAACAACGCCCCAAAATGCAACCATCATTGATTAGTTCGATTGTTTTTGGGATTTGTTTGTGGTTCTTGCCTTTTCGGTTTCCCGGCGCTCCAAGACGGACGAAAAGGTCCCCAAGATCCTTCTCCTCCTCCTCCTCCTCCTCTTCCTCCTCCTCCTCCACCTCCTCCTTCTCCTCCTCCTCCTCCTCCTCCTCCTCCTCCTCCCAGGTGTTCGTTCGGATACCGTGGAAAGTTCCCTCGGGAAGCCGTTTCAACGCGTCCTGGAGGCCGTTTCGAGGCCTCTTGGGGGCCTCTTTGGGGCCTCTTGGCCGCCGCTTGGGGCCTCCTGGGGGCCTCTTGGGCCGATGGCCCGAAAAGTCCGTTCGGGTACTCTGTCTGGGCTCCCTCCTGGAACCGTCTTGGAGGCCTCTTCGCCCGTCTTGGAGGCCTCTTGGTGGGCCCTCGTGGGGCCGTCTTGGGGGCCTCTCGGGCCGTTTTGGGGCGAGGAGCAGGAGGAGGAAGAGGAGGAGGAGGAGGCGGAGGAGGAGGAGGAGGTGGTGGAGGAGGAGGGGAAACAACAAAAACGAGGCGGAGCGAGGAGGAGGAGGAGGAGGCGGAGGATGAGGAGCGAGGAGCGAGGAGCGAGGATGGGGGAGCGTGGAGCGAGCTGCGAGGAGGCGGAGGCGGAAGAGGAGGAGAAGGAGGAGGAGGAGGAGGAGGAGGAGGGAAAGGCAGCGGTTGCGGAGGAGCGGTGAGCGAGACGCGATGAGCAAGGACGAGGAGGAGGAGGAGGAGGAGGAGGAGGAGCATGAGGATCAGGATCATGATGTTGTTGTTGATGATGAGGCTGATGATAGTGATGGTGATGATGATGGTGATTATGATGATCATGGTGATGGTGGTGATGATGATGACGATGCTGATGATGATGGCGATGACGATGATGACGATGCTGATGATGACGATGGTGATGATGGTGATGATGAGGGTGACGGTGATTGTGATGGAGTGGTGATTATGTTGATAAAGATGATGATGATGATGATGATGATGATGATGATGATGATGATGATGATGATGATGATGATGATGATGATGATGATGATGATGATGATGATGATGCTGATGCTGATGATGATGATGATGATGGTGATGGTGATGGTGATGGTGATGGTGATTGTGATGGTGATAGTGGTGATGGTGGTGATGATGGTGATGATGATGATGGTGAGAATGATGATGGTGATGGTGGTAATGCTGCTGATGCTGATGATGATGATGATGTTGCTGCTGATGATGACGATGACGATGGTGGTGATGATGGTGATGGCGATGATGATGCCGATGCTGATGCTGATGCTGGTGCTACTGATGCTGGTGATGCTGATGGTGACGATTCTGATGATGATGATGTTGTTGATGATGATAACGATGACGATGCTGATGATGCTGATGATGCTGATGCTGATGCTGTTGATGATGCGGGTGATGATGCTGATGATGATGGTGCTGCTGCTGATGATGCTGCTGATGATGGTGCTGATGATGCTGATGCTGAGGAGGAGGAGGAGGAGGAGGAAGAGGAGGAGGAGAAGGACGAGGAGGAGGGGGAGGAGGAGAAGGAGGAACGCGAAAAGGAGGTCCTTCTTGGCTCCTGCTCCGAGGACATGAATGTCAGCGCCCGGCACCTCATCAGGCACAATTGCGCCCAGTGCGATCCACCTACCGCCTGCGAAGACGTCGTGACGGTGTCGGAGTCCTACATGAGCGGCAGGGCGGGCCAGTGCTTGGTCGTCTTTCATTCCACGCCCCGTCCTCCTTATCCTCGGGATCTTCCTCTATCCATCCATCCGTCCCAACCCTCCGACCCTCCCTCTTTCTGTTTTTCTTTTTTGTCGCCGTGGCTACTGGTGATGTAGTCTACTGCTGTTGATGTCGCTGTTGATGTTGCCGACGCGCCCGTGTCCCATCAATGCTGAACCTTGCCAGTCCTCGGAACGGGCTGTCTTGGTCCATACATCCCGTCACCTCGCAATTTGAAGCTGAATGTTCGGGCGGCTCACCTGTGCTGTCATCCCTCCTATTCCTTCGCTGTGGCAAAGCATGCGATCGAAGATGCCTGCGGCGAAACACCGCTGCCCCCTGCCTTTTAAAAGCGCCCATGCGGCCAAACGTTGGGCCCGAGTCTGGCGAAGCTATTGGACTATGTGTTCCCCAGGCCGTTGTGGAACCCCTTTGGGGAACACTTGGGAGAGGAAGGGAAAGAAGCAGGAGAGCATGTTTGACCGCTTCACGCTCGTACGCCTGGGGGTGCTGGCAGGGCGAGCGTGCAAGATGGCCTCTGCACCCAGCCTGCAGCGCAGAGTGCGTTGCAGGCCCAGGGCCCCGTCGGCAAGGTGCCGACGGCGCTGAGGGAGAACCTGCAGGGATGAGACTCAGCAGGCCACGCGCCGCGGCTCCGCCCCCGTGGCCAAGCCAGGAGACTGTGCCCGACGTGCAACACTCCAGAGAGAAGTCTGACCACGCTGAGAGCCTCCACATCACACCAGACACCCTTTCAGCTTGGGGTGCTTGCCAGCGCTGACCAGATTCCAGTAGTACTTCCCACTTCGGGGTCTGTGCGGCCTGCCCAAGCACTGTTGGCTGGGGCGACGCATCTTCCCGAGGCGAAAGACACGCACCGGCAGCACATAGCGAGAAGGCTGCCGTCGGAACAAGAAAGCTCAACGCACTGGTGGCCCAGCTCGGTCAGCCTGCTGCTGACCATTTTGTGCGTCTTAGAACAGACACTGCTGTGGGGCCAGAGCACACGCGAGGCCCTCAAAGATTCATTGGCTTACGCCGCACCGCGGCAGCAAGAGTAAAAGACAGAATTCGCGGAACGCGCGCGATCGCTGGGCAATCTTGGGGTTTCGGCTTGTCCTACGTAGCGTGTGGGGTTCAAGGGGGGGCCTTGTAGGGGATTGTTTTGAAGTTTTTCGTCGTCTTATGTGAGTTTCTTGGGGCCTTCACGGGGTCTGTCCCAGGCCTCCTTATCCACCTTCTGGATAGGCTCGGGGATCGTTGAGACCCAGCTGGGGTTGCGTCCGGCCAGAAGTTCGAAGGTGGACCAAGTTGTGTCGATGAGGAGCTTCCTGAAGGCCCAGAGGGGGGCGAGAGCGCCCAAGAACTAGGAGTCTCATGCCTCGAGCCTCGATCCACCCCGTGTTCCTTCCTTTGCGAAGGGGTGGCACCGGCCAGGGACGTCGACCCTCATCCCAGACTTTCGGCGGTGGTCCCCGGCACCGAAAACGGTTCTTGGAGGCTGAATTCGAGGAGATGCCCTGGATGGTCGAAAGACCACGAACATCTGTGAGACATCGGCGGCGACGACGAAATTGTATTTTTTGTTGTTATTCTTCCTCCTCCTCTTTCTCCTCCTTGTCCTTCTCCTCTTCTTCTTCTTCGTAGTATTATTATCATTATTATTGTTATCATCATCATTATTATTATTCCTCTTCTCGATCGAGGTATGTGCCCGCGGCAGTTTGTACATACATATATATACACATATATGTTTGTATATATGTATATATATATATGTGTATGTATATATATACATGCATATACATATACATATACATATACCGATATATGTATAGGTGTGTGTGTACACACATACATAATTACATATAGTGGTCTTCGGCCCATCCCGCCACCGTGCCTTGGTTGTCGGCCTGAGATCTTTGGTGCCTGGGTTGCGGGTTGAACTTACATGCCTCAAGTGGTATTTGAGTTTTTTTTGAACTTCTTGGGGGCCTCTTGGGGGGCCTCTTGGGGGCCTCTTGGGGCCTCTTGGGGGGCCTCTTGGGGGCCTCATGGGCCCTGTTGGGCACCTCTTGGGCCCCCCTGGGGCTGTTCTGGGGCGGAAGGCTCGGGTTGTTGGTTCAGGCTCCCCCTATCGAGCCCCTCTTTGGGCCGTTTTGGGGCACTCTTGGGCTGCCTTGGGAGCCTCTTGGGCTTTTTTCGGCGCTCTCCTGGGCCGTTTTGAGCGCTTCTTGGGAGCCTCTTGGGCCGTTTTGGGGCGGTTTTGGGGGGACTGGGGCCGTCTTCAAGGCCGTGAAGGCCGAAAAGTCGTGCATGATACAAATGTACGTTTCCCCATGGAGTTCGACGATTTTGGCCTCTGGGGCCCCTTCTTGGGAATGCTCTTGGAGGCTTCCTCGGCCGTCTGGGAGGCTCCTGGGCCGTCTTGGGGCCATCCTGGGCGTCTTGGGCCGACCTTGGGGCGTCTCGGGGCCTCTTGGGCCGTCGTGGGGGCTGCTTGGAGCCCTCTGGGGCCTCGTGGGGTCTGATGAGACCTTTGCCCCCCCCCCCCCCCCCCCCCCCTATCCAAACCGGCCGGACCGGGCTCCTAGGGGAGGGGTTTCGGGAGGGGGAAGCATCACACACGCCGTGACCCCAAGGGGTCGGCGGATTGCTTGCGCTGCCAGTACTGCTCACGCCACACCCAATCGCGCCTAGACCAGACACGGGAGGAGGACTCTCTCTTCTTGGCTCTTGTGGCAAGCGAGAGGTCACACGACTGCCACATCGGGAGCAGCCGAGCGGCTGGCACACATTTTCCTGGCAATCGCAAGGGTCCTGTCGAGCCACTCGGCCTGCTCAGGATTCGGCGTCTCGTGGGCCAAGGCCCCTAGCTCAGCGCTTAGCGCAGTGGTCGGCCAGATCATTCCCTGTCTTGCAGATTTCGAGGTGAGGGTCTCCTCCTACCTGCTCTTGTGTCAGATGGCCCCTCATTCACTTCGCGAATGCGCACCATCTGAAATTCGGTGGTCCAAACCGACATGCCAGCATACACTCTGCGGAACGACAACTGCTCTTGCCTAGGAGAATCTGGGAGACGCCCAGGCGGAAACCACATTCGCTGTAATCCTCAGCGCCGTCGAGAGCATTTTGGCAAGCGGCAGTTCAGGTTGCAACCTCGCTAGCCTGAGCAGTCTGGGGAATGGAGAGCGAGAGGAGCGCACACATGACCCAACTGCCCAGAATCAGATATCGAGACATATGACCACCCTGTATGCGAGAGCTCCTTAACCACCGACCGAAAGCACGACCCATCCATAAAGATCTTACCACCCAACGTGTAATCATCGTGGCCGTCAACAGTGGAGAAGGTAGGCGTAGCCACGGTGGGGGGAAGGAAGAACTCACCAGGGTGGGGGAAGATGCCGTACATGTACAGCACTTGGTCTGTCTTGCTCAATTTGTCCCAATACAGCGGCCAATACTTAAAGCCGTCGCCGAGCAGGTCAGCCAGCATGGCAAGGCATTCGGGGTGCTGGCACTTCCACAACCTGTGGAAACGGGTGTCCTTTTCCTGCAAACGCATTGGACAATAAATCTGGCAAAACGTATCCAAGCTCGTCAGCGCGAGTCCTGGTCCAAGTGGCCTGACAAGCGAGCCCGCGGATACAGCATTTCTCCCAGGGAGAGAATTTCGACGACGACATGGCGGCAGTGAACACATCCATGCTGGCACCGCGATCCATGCCGAGACTGTCTCCGTAGGCTCGCTCGTGGCTCCAGAGGTCCAGAGAAAACGCAATCCCATGCCCTACGTAGGGCCGAGAGAGACAAACCCAAATCAAACGATCCGACCAGACTGGCCCAGACTTCCTTAACCCAACGGACGATTGGAGCCACGGCACAGTACCACGTGGGGTCGGCGGCGAACAGCCAAATTGCAGAGAGAGAGAGAGAGAGAGAGAGAGAGAATGTCCCCCCGCAGTAGTGGAAAGAAATCTCCCCAACGAGCGCCGAATGGTGAAACGTTCGTGATCCGAGGTGCCATGCACCTCGAGGAGGAGGAGGAGGAAGAGGAGGAGGAGGAGGAGGAGGAGGAGGAGGATGAGGACCAGTGTAAACCCAAGGGTCATCAACGATGTTGGAATTAACCTTCCCTCCAAGCTCCCTCTTCATAGGCCCCTACAACGGTTCATTTCCATTGAGGGAACTGCCACCATGGAAGACATACGTTTGAAGACCCTGAAGCATGCCAAAACATTATTCTCGGGATTGCAACGCCACGTATCAACCTGACTGCTGCGTTTCGGCGATCCGGAATCGTGCCATGACGTTTTTCTGGGAGATTTTCAACACCGCGAACCAGCATAACTGTTGCACTCGCCTAATCCTGAACCCTTCCAAAACATTGTTTTTAGTATGTTGATCATGGGAACCCGTGAAACTCTTGCATGTTTGAAACGCATGTGCGCGGCGCAAAGGCGAGAGGCACATTTTGAAAAGGAACCGCCCTCAATCCGCGAAGTTTTTGTAATTTTTGTAAAGAGTGTGCGGTGCGCTAAGGCGAGAGCCACATTTTGAAAATGACCCACTTTCAATCCGTGAAACTCTGGAGAATTTGGGAACGAAAGTGCGCGGCGCTAAGGCGAGAGCCACATTTTGAAAAGGAGCCGCCCTGAATTCGTCAAGCTTTTGTGAAGTTTCAAAACGAATGTGCGCGGCGCTAAGGCGAGAGGCACATCCTCAATCCGTGAAGCTCCTTGCAATGTTTGAACACGAATGTGCGCGGCGCTAATTAAGGCGAGAGGCACATTTTGAAAACCACCCGCCCTCAATCCGTGAAGCTCTTTGCACATTTTGAAAACGAATGTGCGCGGCGCTACGGCGAGAGCCACATTTTGAAAAGGAACCGCCCTCAATCCGTGAAGCTTTTGCAAATGTTTAAAACGAATGCGCGCGGCGCTAAGGCGAGAGGCACGTTTTGAAAACGACCCGCCCTCAATCCGTGAAGCTCCTTGCAATGTTTGAAAACGAATGCGCGGCGCTATGGCGAGAGGCACATTTTGAAAACCACCCGCCCTCAATCCGTGAAGCTCCTGGCAAATTTTGAAAACGAATGTGCGCGGCGCTAAGGCGAGAGGCACATTTTGGAAACCACCCGCCCTCCATCCGTGAAGCTGTTGTCATCTTTTACGCTCCAGAATCATAAATGGTGAAGAAATCACAGGCGAAACGCCCTTCCCTCCCTAAAAACTGGCCTCGGGGTGCGACAGGGAGGAATTATTTAGAATGAGAAGGAATGGAGGAGGAGGAGGAGGAGGAGGAGGAGGAGGAGGAGGAGGAGGAAAAGGAGGAAAAGGAGGAAAAGGAGGAGGAGTAGGGCAGGGCCTCTGGGAGCCTCTAAGCGACCTCCTGGCCTTCGGAGGCCGTCTTGGGGCCCTTTCTGGACAGTCAGTCGCGTGTCCCTTTTGGGCGCTATGGGGCCCTCATGGGCCGTCTGGCGGGTCTCTTGTGTGCCTCTGGGGCCATCTTGGGGAAGTCTTGGGGGACTACAGTGCAGGCCCACAGGGCATTCTTGGAGCGACGGAAGCCCGAAAAGGCGAGAACGCTGAAGTCACTGACTGAATAGCCTGGAGGTGCTTTTGGA